AGTAAGGTGAACTTAGCCTCACAATGAGCTAACAATAATGTAGTTTAAATTCGCCTTTTGGCGAGAATCGAACTTAAAACCTCTCACTTACAAGTGAAGAGGAATATCACTAGACTATAGAACTAATTTTGACATCAATTCATATGACAATGCTTTATTAGTTTTATAACTACACCATAGAACTATGCATTAGGGATCAATTAGGGATTGATATGCTTTTTTAAAATTGCTTATGTTGTACTTTAAGAATAATCAACTGAAAAATAAAACAGTTGAGCATTTGATAAATTGTATTTTTGAAAGTAATGTGAGTATGAAAAATAATATAAACGTGTTTAGTAAATTTTAATGTAATAGTGACACACCCCGACCCGGAATGTCCATTAGGACCCCGAATCGAGGCATGTTGGCTTCGTCACTTGTCACATCCCGCCCCAGCCCCACCACATCCCAAGCTCGACTCCACCATAGCACGATATTGTCCGCTTTAGGACCCGACCACGCCCTCAAGGTTTTGTTTCTGGGAACTCACACGAAAATTTCTCAGTGGGTCACCCATTCTAGGATTGCTCTCGCGTGCTACTCGCTTAACTTCGGAGTTCCAATGGAACTCGAAGTCAGTGAGCTCCAAAAAAGCCTCGTGCTAGGTAGAGATAGGAATATACATATAAGGCTTATATGATCCACTCCCCTGGGCGATGTGGGATGTTACAATCCTGGCCAGGATGTGACAATTTGGTATCAGAGCCAATCCCTGGCCGGAAGTGTGCCGACGAGGACGTCAGACCCTTAAGGGGGGTGGATTGTTAGATCCCACATCACCTAGGGGTAAGGATCTTGTAAGCCGTATATGTATATTCCCATCTTTACCTATCACGAGGCCTTTTGGGAGCTCATTGGCTTCGGAGTTTATCGGAACTCTGAAGTTAAGCGAGTTCGTGCGAGAGCAATCCCACGATGGGTGACCCATTGGGAAGTTCTCGTGTGAGTTCCCAAAAACAAAACCATGAGGGCGTGGTCGGGGCCTAAAGCGGACAATATTGTGCTACGGTGGAGTCTAGCTCGGGATGTGGTGGGGGCCTGGGGCGGGATGTGACAAATAGTGCTATAATTTGTATAATGACAAAAATAGACATTTGTGGTAGGAGTGGTGGCAATGGTGATGCCATCGACATTGGTAAAGGTATTGTGGTGGTGCTACTGGTAAAGGTAGGAATGGTGTAAGGGCAACGATGAAGGTGGTGACAATTGCAGTGGCAACAATGACGATTGTGGCAATGATAATGGTAGGGATATGGTTGTGATGTCTACTGAGGATGTGCTGGTTGGGATGTAGAGGTAGAAATGGTGGTAAGGTGGTGAAAATTGTGGTGGTGGCTAGGATGACAAAAATGGTGGTGATAATAGTTAGTACTTATAGTGTAAGATCTCACATCACACAGGAGAGTGATCCTTATATATATTCCCATCCCTACCTAGCACGAGGCTTTTTGGGAGCTCATTGGCTTCGGAGTTCATCGGAACTCTGAAGTTAAGCGAGTTTGCTCGAGAGCAATCCCAAGATGGGTGACCCATTGGGAAGTTCTCGTGTGAGTTCCCAGAAACAAAACCGTAAGGGCGTGGTTAGGGCCTAGGCCGAGATGTGGTCAGGGCCTAGGCCGGGATATGACAAATAGTGCTATAATTTGTATAATGACAAAAACAGACATTTGTGGTAGGAGTGGTGGCAATGGTGATGACATCGACACTGGTAGAGGTATTGTGGTGGTGCTACTGGTAAAGGTAGGAATGGTGTAGAGGCAACGATGACAGTAGTGGTGACAATTGTAGTGACAACAATGACGGTTGTGATGTCTACTGAGGGTGTGCTGGTTGGGATATAGAGGTAGAAATGGTGCTAAGGTGGTGAAAATTGTGGTGGTGGTTGGGATGACAAAAATGGTGGTGATAATAGTTAGTACTTGTGGTGTAAGATCCCACATCGCCCAAAGGAGTTATCTTTATATGTATATTCTCATCCCTATCTAGCATGAGGCCTTTTGAGAGCTTACTGGCTTCGAGTTCCATGGGAACTCCAAAATTAAGCGAGTAGCGCGCGAGAGCCATGATGGGTGACCCACTAGGAAGTTCTCGTGTGAGTTCCTAGAAACAAAACAGTGAGGGTGTAGTCGGGGTCCAAAGTAGACAATATCGTACTATAGTGGTGGAGCGGGCCCAGGATGTGGTGGACCTCGGGCCAGGATGTGACAATTTGGTATCAGAGCCAATCCCTACCCTGAAGTGTGTCGACGAAGACATTGGGCCACTAAGGGGAGTGGATTGTAAGATCCCACATCGCCCAAGGGAGTGATCCTTATATGTATATTCTCATCCCTACCTAGCACGAGAATCGAGACATCACGAACCATCATCGCCTATACCAATTATCAAATTACATCTTAGAGTTCCTATCGATAAAACACGTAACTTACATAAAACATATCCCCAAGGACGTTCTAGAATGATTTGGAACCCATTAACCAAAAGTCAATCGTCAGTCGAAGATCGACAGTAGGGTCCACAACCCTGCGTAACTCGATCCAGAAGATCCGCATTTCAGATTTCCGATCCGTAACTTCCAAAGATCCACATTGTGCTTCTAAGACATCATACTAAAGTTTCATTACGATCCAACGGTTGGATCTCCTCCAATTGCCAATTCAAGTGGTGGTCAACGTTGATCCTTATATGTATATTCTCATCCCTACCTAGCACGAGGCCTTTTGGGAGCCCATTGGCTTCGAGTTTCATGGGAACTCCGAAGTTAAGCGAGTAACGCGCGAGAGCACTTTCATGATGGGTGGCCCACTAGGAAGTTCTCGTGTGAGTTCCCAGAAACAAAACTATGAGGGTGTAGTCGGGGCCCAAAGCGGACAATATTGTGCTACGGTGGTGGAGTAGGCCCGGGATGTGGTGGACCCTGGGGCGGGATGTGACATATGGTCACTTTGTTCATTAAGGAGAAAATGATGTATAGACTAACAAACAATGTCTCTATATCTTTAGCATAGGAAAAGCTAGGAATTAGAATCATTATACTTTTAGTGTAACATCCCATATCGCCTAGGGGAGTGGATCCTGTAAGCCTTATATGTATATTTCCATCTCTACCTAGCACAAGGCCTTTTGGGAGCTCATTAGCTTTGGGTTCCATCAGAACTCCGAAGTTAAGCGAGTTTACGCAAGAGCAATCCCAGGATGGATGACCCATTGGGAAGTTCTCGTGTGAGTTCCCAGAAACACAACCGTGAGGGCGTGGTCGGGGCCCAAAGCGAACAATATCGTACTAAGATGGAGTCGACCCTGGGATGTGGTGGGGGCCCGGGCCGGGATGTGACAATTTGGCACCAAAAGGCCTTGTGCTAGGTAAAGATGGGAACATACATATAAGGCTTACATGATCCACTCCCCTGGGTGATGTGGGATGTTACATTTAGGGCATGTTTCCTTCGAAGAATGGGGTGGGAAAAACGGTATTATTCATATTCATATGTTTATTAACAACTAAAAAAAAAAAAGAAAAAATAGGTAGATCTTATATTTTTTGTGCATGACAAAACATAGGAAAATAATGAGGTCAGTTGACACACCCCGACCGAAATCAAGTCGTGCTAGCCATCACGTCTTGATTTCGGTCGGGATATGTCAGTTTGGTATCAGAGCCTAACCCTGGCCATAGTGTGCCGACGAGGATGTCGGGCCCCTAAGAGGGGTGGATTGTAACATCCCACATTGCTCGGGGGAGTGGATCCTATAAGCCTTATATATGTATTCACATCTCTATCTAGCACGAGGTTTTGGGAGCTCATTGGCTTCGGGTTTCGTATGAACTTCGAAGTTAATTGAGTTTGCGCGAGAGCATTCCCAAGATAGGTGACCCACTGAGAAGTTCTTGTGTGAGTTCTCAGAAACAAAACCATGAGGGCGTGGTCAAGGCCCAAAACAGACAATATCGTGCTACGATGGAGTTGAGCTTGAGATGTGGTGGAGCCCCGGATCGGGATGTGACATCAGCGATAAATTAGAATAATAAAATAAAAATGATAATCATAAGCTATTTTTCTCTTCTGCATATTCTTACTTGTTTTCTCACATTAAAACAAACAAATTAAACAAAAACATTTAAATGTGTAGAAAGAAAAGAAAGAAAAAAAAAAGAGATAACAGTTGCATTTTTTTATAATTCAACTTCTTTTAAATAACGTGCATTCACTATATAAATGTTCATTTCCTCAATCTTAATTTGAAGATCTTCCTTATCAAAAAATTATTCGAATTAGAGATCATCTAATCATTAAAATGTATGAAACATATTTGACGATGTGAGTAGCAAGTAACACATTGATGATAAATATTTCATTTTATTTGATACATTTGAATGATTAAACGATTTTTAATTTAAATAATTTTTTATAGAGATGATTTACAACTAAAGATTAAAAATTTGAACGTTCCTATCATAAAATTTATATAATGTATATATGTTATTAAAAAATAAAATATGTGCATTTTTTCATGAAAGAACGTAAATATTATTCAAAAAATAATAATTGGTTACCATTTTACTTGAAAAAATGAAACACGTGTGAATAAAAACATGTCATTTAATGGTCAAGCCAACCCTCCTCTCCCCTTCTTTGCTCCCCTTAATCCACCGACCTCCGAGCCCACCACTTCCTCTCTTCCGGTCTCTCTCTCTCTCTCTCTCTCTCTCTCTCTCTCTCTCTCTAGCCTCGTCCGTCACATACAATAATCAATGAATCAAACTAGTAAACTTTGTACAGCGCCAACAAAATATTTAAAATTTTTTTTTTTAAATAACAAAAAAAAAAAGTCGCACTCAGTGAGCTAACTACCGCGCGCCACGTGACCAGCTCATCCCGCCCTCCTTCCCTCCTGTCTCTCTCTCGTTGGTAGCAACCTCTCCATCTCCGACCTCCCAAACCCCTCTCTCCCCCTCCCCTTTCTCTCTGTATCTCTCTCTATATAATCTCTCCCTCCATCCAACCCTCCCTAAATCCCAGCATTTTGCATTTCTCCCCCAAACCAAATCCCGAATTCCACTCTCACAATCAGGTAAGCTCCAATTCCTCTCTTTATTTTTTTACTCCGGATTCTACTTCGGTTTTCCGGTGGATTAAATTAGGAGAGATCCGCTGTTTTGTTCCGTTTCCAGGATCCCATTTCCTGTCCGGACTTCAAATTCCCCGGATTTTTCCATTCTTTTGTTTGTTTTGCTTGATTTGTTGTATATATAGTGATTGGGATTGTTTCGGACAGATTAAGATCTGCTTCCCCGCTTCTCCTTTCTTGGATAATTGGGTTGTTGGGTCTTGTTTGGTGGCAGTTTGGTTGGCACATTGCGCAGGGATCTGTTTGGTAACCATATCTGCATATCTGTTTGGCATTAGGTGTGCTTTTTTTTCTAACAGAAATTTGACCAACAGTTCTACCTAACTTTACCTTTTGATTTGACCTGCTTACCTGTAATTGTTCTGCTAATCCTAAACCGTAATTTTCAGAACAAGAGCTTTGAATTTTCTTTGGATCGTGTAATTGATGTGTGATCACAATTAAATCAATTAGTATTTGATGTTTTGGTTTCTTTTTCTGTGATCAGAAGCCGGAGGTTGCCTTGACCCGAAAACCATGGCCACTGGACAACTTTTTTCGCGCACCACTCAGGCGCTGTTCTACAACTACAAGCAGCTCCCAATCCAGCGCATGCTCGATTTTGACTTCCTTTGCGGTGTGTATCAATTTCCAATTTTGATTTCGGACTTGATCTTAGTTATAGTTTTTAGTTTTCGAAAAAGGTATAAATGTAGTAACTGAGGTTTGTTACAGGGAGGGAAACACCTTCGGTTGCTGGAATCATTAACCCCGGTTCCGAGGGATTTCAGAAGCTCTTTTTCGGTCAGGAGGAAATCGCCATACCAGTGCACTCAAAGTAAGTCGCTATTCTCTCATCCTCTTCCTAGATTTCACTTTTTGTGGCTGCAAGCCACAACCTTGTGTATAATATATATGCATGGTTAATTTTAATTTTTCATAACCAAAATATTCAAATTATGTTATTAGTCAAATTGTCATTCTTGATCCATTGTTTCGAGATTATCTGACCGTCATGTTGATAACTGTTGCAGCATTGAAGCATCTTGCGCTGCTCATCCTACTGCCGATGTCTTCATTAACTTTGCTTCATACAGAAGGTCAGTGATCATTCTATTAGTATCTTGGAGTGCGAAACTTCTATGTTTGTACCTAACGATGAATATATGTTGATATATCTGCAGTGCTGCTGCTTCTTCCATGGCTGCTCTGAAGCAACCAACCATTCGAGTTGTGGCAATCATTGCTGAAGGTGTTCCTGAGTCAGACACTAAGCAGTTGATCGCATATGCACGGGCAAACAACAAGGTTAGACAATTGATGCAAAGTCATCTTAATTTCACTGACTTGGAGAATGAACTGGCGATACTAACTTTAATCATCGTATTTTTTGTAGGTTGTCATTGGCCCAGCTACTGTTGGAGGAATTCAAGCTGGGGCTTTTAAGATCGGTGACACTGCTGGAACTATTGATAACATTATTCACTGCAAGCTATACAGGCCCGGATCTGTTGGTTTTGTCTCCAAATCTGTATGTAGCTATTCCAGCATCCTGAACTTTCAGATAATTTGGTCATTCATAAGATTTTTAGAATGTCTATATTTAAAATGTTTAGCAAATTGGAATCGAGTGCATTGATTTCTCTTCGATGCCCTTATGTTTAATGTGCCATGAGTTGCCACATAGTTATTCAAACTCCAATTTGGTGTGCCGTGTCAAGAAAGTTTGTGTTCTAGAATTCTTACAAAAGAATTTTTTTTGGTATTGCAGGGTGGCATGTCTAATGAGTTATACAATACTGTAGCTCGTGTAACAGATGGACTTTATGAAGGTATCCACATTTGATCCGTTTAATTTTGTTTTAATAGCTGACTTAATATTTGAACAAGGTTTTAATACAATTTTGGTATGTCTTGAAACTATTAAGGTATTGCTATTGGAGGTGATGTGTTCCCAGGTTCTACTCTTTCTGACCATGTTCTGCGGTTTAACAATATCCCCCAGGTACATTACGATTTCATTACTTCTTTTGAGGGACTGTCCACGATTTGCATGTTGTATGAGGATGCCAGTATTCTGAAACTTGACATTATGGTTTTCTGATCTTGTGCAGGTTAAACTTATTGTTGTTCTTGGAGAACTTGGCGGGAGAGACGAGTATTCTTTAGTTGAAGCTTTGAAACAGGGAAAAGTTACCAAACCAGTGGTTGCTTGGGTTAGTGGAACTTGTGCAAGGCTTTTCAAATCCGAAGTACAGTTTGGTCATGCTGTAAGTTATCATCTCAGTTTCCCTTTACTAATCTCTTCCCAAGACTGTAAGAGGGTTAAAAATTCTAATTCTTCCTTGATATCGTCTAAATTAGGGCGCAAAAAGTGGTGGTGAGATGGAATCTGCACAAGCAAAGAATCAAGCCTTGAGGGATGCTGGTGCTGTTGTTCCCAGTTCATATGAAGCTCTGGAAACTGCTATCAAGGAAACATTTGAAAAACTGGTAATTACAGCATGCCTTGATAAACTGCACAAAGATTGCTTGACTGAGTTATGTAAATCCATGAGGATCTGTGGCTGACTAACATGTTTTGGTTATTTGTGCAGGTTGAGCAAGGCAAGATTGCACCAGTCAAGGAATTCAAGCCTCCACAAATCCCTGAAGATCTTAACTCTGCAATTAAGAGCGGAAAAGTTCGTGCTCCAACTCATATTATATCCACTATCTCCGATGACAGAGGTATGCATTACAATAAACAATCTTCCTGTATATGATTGATGTGTTTGATAAAGGACATCAGTTTCATTGACTTCTACTGTTAATCATTTTTGCAGGTGAGGAACCATGCTATGGTGGTGTACCTATGTCTTCCATTGTTGAGCAGGGTTATGGTGTGGGTGATGTTATCTCTCTTTTGTGGTTCAAGCGCAGCCTTCCCAGTTACTGTACTAAATTTATCGAGGTAGGTTCTTATTACCATAGAGCTGCTAATTTGCACTTTTTTACCCTTTTGTTTAATTTTTGTTGATTTAAAGTCTAGCTAAGCAAATTTGTGTATACTAGTTCATTCACTAATGAGTATGACATTGACATCAGATTTGCATCATGTTATGTGCCGACCATGGTCCTTGCGTCTCTGGTGCTCACAACACAATAGTAACTGCTAGGGCTGGCAAGGATCTTGTTTCCAGCCTTGTTGCAGGTAGATATATTCCCACAGAATGTTCTATCTTTTGTTATTACAAAGTTTTCTAGTTTTGAGGATCAGAGATAATTTGGTTGTGGAATACTCAAAGATGAGCTTCTGAAACAGGTTTGCTCACAATTGGACCACGATTTGGTGGTGCCGTTGATGACGCTGCTCGTTACTTCAAGGATGCATATGACAGGGTGAGCTTTATTGGGCATTTTATGTGTAGTGATTGAACACTTAAACCTTAAAATGACGTTTTAACTCTAACAAGTTGTCTCCTTGCTGTGTTTTATCAGAACCTTACACCTTATGAATTTGTCGAAAGTATGAAGAAGAAGGGCATTCGCGTGCCAGGGATTGGGCACAGGTATTGAGAGTTTTCAAATTTATACAACAGCATAATCTTGGGGTTTCAGTTTATGCATTTAGTAGCTGCATTAGAAATCTTATTGATGGAAGTTTTTGTTTCTTTGCTGTGGAAAAGGATCAAGAGAGGGGACAACAGAGATAAGAGAGTAGAGCTTCTACAAGCGTTTGCACGCACTAATTTCCCTTCTGTCAAGTACATGGAATATGCCGTTCAAGTTGAAACCTACACACTCTCAAAGGCTAACAACCTGGTCCTCAACGTTGATGGCGCAATTGGAACCTTATTCTTGGATCTTCTTGCTGGCAGTGGAATGTTCACCAAGCCAGAGATTGACGAGATTGTTGAGATTGGATATCTGAATGGGCTCTTCGTGCTGGCACGTTCTATTGGTTTGATTGGGTGAGTACTGGCTAGGATTAACTATATATATATTTTTTTTACCGCAGATAATTGTAGGTTAGTATTATGTTGTTGCCTATTAAGGTAGAATCAAAATCTAGATAACGACACATCAACCATCAGAACACTGATTCTACATAGGCACATATCTCCTTTACACGCAAAGATAACGTACTTGGACTTCCTACCGTCTCTAAACAGATTAGGTGGTCCTACGGTCATATGGTCACTGATACAGATAGGACTCAATAGTTCAAGTAGTCAATTTCCTATTCGTTATCATATACATATAGGATTAGATACCTGGCTTTGTCATTGAGAGGTAACCCAAAACAACAGATTGTCCTTCATGACAATGAGGTTCAGAGGGTCAGATAAACAAGGGAGAGAGGGCATCATTTTCTGCTTTGTATATGATGCATTCCTTAGTATATCTGTAGAATATACTTTTATTTACCTGACCGATTCTCTCTCTGGTCTAAATCTCAGGCACACATTCGACCAAAAGAGGTTGAAGCAGCCCCTATACCGCCACCCATGGGAGGACGTTCTATACACCAAGTGAGAAAATATCGGATAGCAGGTGCAAAACCCGGACTACCTGCTTGCGGACGAGCATTGTTGTTTTCAAGGTTCTCAAGTCTACGATGTCGCCGGAGATGATTATTGTTCAGTTGTTAAAATAGTGTTTTGTATGAGTAATGCTGGAGCTGGTAAGTCTGTATCGAAAGTTCATAAAAAGGGAGAACCCTCGATCATTTTACTAAGCAAAAGTTATGTTTTCGCTTAAATTTCTTGGATTCACTTTCTGGTTTTAGGAGAGAACGTAGATTGTAGAGCAGCTGGGAATTGGATGTATCATGAATACGCGCAATTGTTCTCTCGATAAAAAAACGAATAAATACAAATATGTCCCTATACATTTATGCATTGCCTATTTCTTTATTTATTTTTATTTTTATTAAATAAATTTCGTTAAAACTCCTATCGAGAAAGAGAAAAGAGTACATCAAACACGCATGAAATACAGTGAACAAATAAAAACAAGAACTTTACAAGGACAATACTTAACATAAACACAACTAAAAACTCATGTCGCTTTAAGCTCAATTTCTTGCAAAGCCAGACAATCTTAACCCTAAACGGATTCATATTTCTTGAATCGTGAGTACTACGGCCACCACATGAATGAGCACCGCCATCAAACAAACCGCATCCAGTCATAGAACACAATAAGTCAGCCATAACTAAATGCGGAACTTAATATAAATATTAAATTGTCATTGTCGTTCATGTCAGTCGGACTGGACAAGGGTTAATCTTTTGACTGATTTCTTAGAGCATTTACCGGACAATCATGGAGATATATATGCACTAATTAATTGGGATTATCTTCAGCAACTTGTGCTCACCAGACTATGATTGGGCCATATCGTACGGACCAAAATGGACATATTTCACTATTTAACGAAAAATTTTCAGCATGACTAGAACACAGTCTGATACGCTAAATGTTATAATAAAAGTGTTAAAAATACCAAATTATATATTTTCCTGTACATTGAAAAAAAAAAACTAATGAAAATGACTTGAAAACTTTGAGTTTTAACGATAAAGACAAAATAAAAGGTAAAGTGAATAGTACTATGATTGATTTTTTAATGTAAAAATGTAATTTTTCGTTAAAATTAACAGTACCGGAAGTTTTTCATTAAAATTCCCTTGAAAAATATGTCAGTCTAAAATCAGATGTGATATGTGTTCCATTTCCATCAGGTACACTGTCAGTAGTGAAGGATAATTCTTCGCCATAATGTAATATCCCATTTCACTCGGATGCATGCATGGGAGTGGAATTATAATTTTCACTGATGAAGCAAATCACGATAAAAGCAGACCTTAGAAAGAAAAATATTTTGTAGGGTTGGAAATTCAATGACTACTATATTTTATTTTTTCTAAAATCTGTTAAAAGCTTATGAAATTCAAATACCAAGGCTTTTTTTTTTTTATCCATTGAGGGTATGAAGGTGTTAACATAAGGTTGTCGTTAGTTTTACGCATTCTGCTTATAACTTAAGTAGTTAAAAACATTTTTTTTGTATTTATGTTCCGGTAATTGATTCTTCAGACATCAAATATCTATTATAAAGATATAATAAGGTGACACAACATCATGAGAAACTTTTTGGTGTACTTGAAACACTGTCTCGTAAGGTTAAAACACTGTCCATTCATATTATAACACGTGAAATAGTACACCATGTGACAAGTATTTAAAAAACACATAAAATTTTCCCCAACATTATTTACCACCTATCATCAAAATTAACACTCTCATTATTTCAATTTGAGTGCCCAAAGTAAAAAATGAGGTGGCATACGTATAGGTTTAATATCTTTAATTGAGACACATTATAAACCGATAAAAGTTGGAAATGTAATAAACAATTTTATTGCCTCTGTGGATGCCTTTTGTTGGAACAAGACTTTTATTCTACGTGTACATTTGAGCTCATTTGATGTAACTTTAGTGTCACATGATAAATATTTTCTCAAATATTAATAATTTTTCATCACAAATAGAAAAATTAATAATTTTATGAATTCTGTAGACTCCAACGAGACAATGCTTTCTGTTCAATATACTCTTTGTAATTTCATGTGTCTATCCTATATACCTCTCACCATATTAACATTATGCATTATAACAAAATATTTAAATGTTGTTGGTATAAACTTGTCCACTCAACCCTCAAGTTTTTTGATGTGGAGTGGATCCCACAACTGATCCTCATTTTTTTGAAAAAAAAAAAGCGATCACTTCTCTTAAAGGGTATGTGTGTGCGTGTGTGTGTATATATATATATATATATATTAAGAATTGGTTACAAAGAGCGCTTGACTATAGTCTAGTCTTTTTTTCTTTCTCTCTCGTGTCTGATTGTCTATAAAGGATCTCACCCCTTTATATAAGCACTTAGAGAGCCCCAAAAGTACTAGGCTCGATTCCTTCGCCGCCTTCTCATTAATAAATTAGGTACGTAGACACGACTTGCTAGCCACTCTTCCATTCTTTAATTGAAATGTGATAGTAAAGCAGCATTCGTTAATGCCTAATTGCATGTATTCCTGAGCTAATACATATTGAGCGCCTTGCTTAGCCCCAAGGTTTTAGTTTGACAACTTTTATGTCACTTTATAGGCCTATGCGCTTGTCGATGGCCGTCACGTGGGCAGGAATTGGTTCTCAAATAGACTTGTTATTGGGACTTCATGCTATAAAGTTGTCGGGTTGGCCAATTTGATGCCATAGTCGAAAAGTACTTTCCCATTTTAAAGACCATTGGTCAATATATTGCTAAAATTAGAAAGGACAATTGATTTGCTTTCCAATTATAGTTTTTCTTTATTAGATCTTGGGGGAAGGAACCTGACTCGAATTCAACCCCATGGTGCAAGCACATTAAAATAATCCCAACTTAAATTGACAAAAATAAAATACGAAAAAAGTAAATAAGAAATAGAAAAATATGGTCAGGAGTAGGGGTGGTTCGGTATGGGATACCGAACCGAAAACTATATACCAAATACCGAACTGAAAAAGTTCGGGATGAGATTTTAGCAACCGAAACCGATCCGAAATTTTGCCTTTCCCGAATTTCGGTATTCCCGAATATTTTTCGGTTTTTCGGTACGGTTCGGGACGCAGCCAACACCAACCATCTCCAGTGGCTTCTTCACAAGCCTCCTCCTGAGAGATCTTAATACCATTCTCCTCCGCCACCTCCACCAATCTCAGAAAGCAACGACCACGGTGACGACTCCGAATCCACCTAGCTCCCAACCCTGCACCCACTCCTCTCCACAATCACATCTTCTCATGCCATTTCTGCACAAATCCTTTAGAACCCACATGCAAAAATCCAATCTTTTTCTTCGAGCACGGCGGCGACTCTGAGTCCACCTCGCTCCCAACCCCACACGGCCACACCCACTCCTCTTCACAATCACATGTTCTTATGCCATTTCTGCACAAATCCTTCAGAACCCACATGCAAAAATCCAATCTTTTTCTCTCGAGCTTCAGTGATCATCAAATGGAATTATTTGTTGTGGGTTATGTCGTGCATGCGCAGCGCTGAGGATTCATAACCCAGAGACGAGAGAGCTTCAGAGAGGATAGAGAGAGAAATGGGTCGAGGCCAGAGACGAGAGAGCTTCTTCCTATCTCTGCTTCCCAACACGAAGACTGCTTCTCTCTCTCTCTGCCTCAAGAATCAAGATTCAAAACCAAAACAAAAGCTTTGTGCTTTTATCCCAAACCGACAAGGCATCACCATCACATGCCTTTCCCATATTATTTTATTTTTGTTCCTTTGCTAGTGGAACCGAAAGGCTCTGCTTTTTATTTTATTTTTTCATTGTTCTTTGCAGATGTAGCGCTGGAAAGTAGGAACCAAAAACAAAAGAATATTTCGGGACTTCGGGAATACCGAAGAAAAGAAATCTGGAAACCAATTCCATACCGAATATTTCGGTATTTTTCGGTATGGGATTACCAAAGTTCGGGATGGTTTTGGTTTGGGATTTTTCGGTTTGGGTTTGGGATTTTTTCGGTTTGGTTTGGGATTTTCGGGAATTTTTTCCAGCCCTAGTCAGGAGAATCAAAATTATTGTCATCGGGCCAAACTCCCAAAACGCACACGACCACCAATCGAATATTGCCCTCCATGTTTATGCTCTCACCACCAATAATGCAAAACCAACAAATCCAGAAAAGTAGAGATAAATCCGGAAACAAATACGGTTCGGTAAAAAACAAAGAAGAAAGAAAGTGTCATCTCCTCTTCCCAGTTCTCTCCCTCGCTTTCTCTCTCTACCAAGAACTCGACAAAACAAAAAAGAATATCAACCCAAAACCAGCTTTTTCCCATCTCTGAATTAAAACCACATAAATAATTAAGGACCACCATCGAAAGTCACAAGCTTACCTATTTTTTAAGCAAAAAGTCACAAGCTTTCGCTCTGATCGGCTTCGAATTTTCATGGGGTTTTTCAAGTTACCACTTTTTTTCTAATTTTAGCGAATTTAGGACCAACCCAGTGAGAATTGAGTCAAACGGGGAGGACCCAAGTCAGCAGAAATGGCGTCAGGAGCTCAGTCGTCGGGCAAGAGCAATATCAAAGCTCACCACAACACGGAGTCTGTGAGCAAAGCCATTGCTCAGTACACTGTAGATGCTCGGCTGCACGCCGTGTTCGAGCAGTCCGGGGAATCCGGCAAGTCCTTCGACTACTCGCAGAGCATGAAAACCACCAAAGATTCGGTCCCGGAGCAGCAGATTACGGCGTACCTGTCGAGGATTCAGAGGGGCGGCCATGTCCAACCTTTCGGGTGCATGATGGCCGTGGACGAAGCCACGTTCGGAGTCATTGCGTATAGCGAGAACGCACGCGACATGCTCGACCTAACGCCGCAGTCAGTGCCGATCCTTGAAAAGCCGGAGATTCTCACAATTGGGACCGACGTCCGTACGCTATTCAGACCGTCGAGCGCGGTGTTGCTGGAGAAGGCATTTGGGGCTCGGGAGATAACGCTTTTGAACCCGATTTGGATCCACTCTAAGATTTCTGGAAAGCCCTTTTACGCAATTTTGCATAGGATTGATGTTGGGGTCGTGATTGATTTGGAGCCTGCGAGAACAGAAGACCCTGCGCTGTCGATTGCCGGCGCGGTGCAGTCGCAGAAGCTGGCGGTGAGGGCGATTTCGCAGCTGCAGTCGCTGCCGGGCGGCGACATTAAGCTTTTGTGTGACACTGTGGTAGAGAGTGTGAGGGAGCTTACTGGCTATGATAGAGTTATGGTTTATAAATTTCACGAGGATGAGCATGGTGAGGTTGTGGCTGAGAGTAAAAG